ACTAGGGGTACATCTTTTCGAGGTGACACAATTTCATCCAAAACAGTTATCACATGCACAAAGTCAAAGGAACATTTTTAAAATGAGTAATTTATAAAGATAAAACTGATCGACTGGTTTAGGATTGTTTCTGGGAAACAATTAGAGGGCGGGAATCAAAGGCTGGCAAGAGATTTTGCTGAAGATGAGGCTCAAAAGCCAAAAAGGACAGGACATTAAATATATCTAAATATCTTGGCGCCCTTTATAAAAGTGCTTTCAAAGCCTGCAAATTAATTTATTCAGCTTGTATTGTATAAACTTTTACTTTTGTCTTCTTTCAGCTCTACTTAATTGACTATTTAAAATACAAAATATATTTCCTTTTCCTCTCTGGCAGTAGTGAAGGATAAACCTGGAAAATGAGAACTGAAGGCTCTGCACAAAGCTGTGCCTCCACAGTAGTAATTCATTTATGAGGAAGTGATTACAGTTCTGACTGTGACTATGTAGCCTCAGAAGAAGGGAAAATTACTCATACAATTAAAGCAGATTTGAAAGTAAAACTCATTTTGAAATTGAAAGATATGTTTTGCGATTTAAAACATATGCATCATATGAGCTTTGTAACTTTGGATAATTTGCCTATCTTCACTTTAATAATATGTAAGTAAATATAATTTTATTATGAAAAAAAGGCGTGTATGCTATTGTAGGCTAGATTGTAGATAACATGCATAGAGAATCCAATTAACACACTTGGTTCATAAAACAAGTTTATAATCCTGGGTTGTACAAGGTGGTCTAGTTTGGGGAGAAGAGTACTAGGTTAGCAATCTAATAACTGCATTCTTATTTTACTCTGCCATGGACTCTTATGAGCCTATTTTCTTACCCTTTGACAAAGAAGTTCAGGCTAATTGACCTAGCTTCCAACCAGCCCTAAAGTTGTATGCTTATTTTAAATTAAAAATGATAAATTCTTACTGTAGGAAGAATGAATAATATAATCCTTGAGATGTTTCTGTACTCGAGAATGCTTTTCTATTGAATTCATCATTTGTCATGTAAAAGTGTGTAGATCATTTTTCCTTAGCACAGAATGGAAATTATACAAATTAGTTATGAAGAAAGTGAAACATACGCAGAGATATACACACTAACCAAAGGTACATTAGACATTTTTCTTTAGTGGTGGCAAAAGCAGAGAAATTTTAAGGAGTTAAAAATGAATGTGTATCTTGTTCGTTCGTAAAAAAATAATGATGAATTCAAAACATGGATATACAGGAATTTTATGAAGCTCTCAACTATTGACCTACTTAAAATTTATAGACCACTTTAGTACTAATACATCCCACAAAAGCACCAGAAAACCGAGTAGATAAATTAATTAAAAGAAAAATCAACAAAATCTATTATAGCTAATCATTCTCCTCAAAGTCTTTTATAGTATAAAGGCATAATGGTCTCTTGCTTTTTCATCTGATTTCTTTTGGTTTGGGCCCTCAAGATTAGTAGTTCTGGGTAGTAGTTCTGAAGTAAGTAGGAGTTCTGTATAGTAGTTCTGAAGTAAGTAGGAGTTGCAGAATTTCGGTTAATTAAATTTACTTGCTAACCATCAATTGAAACATATAGTAGCCTATACAAATTAGTACTTTAAAAATTTTGGCACCAAAACTTTTGATTTTCGTCCTAAGAGCAGAGAGATCAACAAAGAGCTCTGACAACCTGGCCCTGAATCCTTCCGCTTGGCCTGGGTAAAGTTTTAGTGGATAAGAAGCTGAAGGTCAGGAGCACTGTGAGTTCTGATACACTTCAGAAAAGGACACAGAGCCTGATTGGCAGGTTGCCAGGGCCAAACACTGTGAAAGCACAGAGCACAGCTTGCAGAGTGCTGGAAAGGGACCATATGAGGAAGTTTGAGAGACGTGCCTCAAAGTTGAGTTGAGCTAAATGTTCTGGTCAGGGAAAGGTCAGAGTCTGGGCAAGTGCAGGAACAGCAGGGCCATGCCAACTCAGATGCCAAACATCAAGGCCATTCAACTGTTGGATTCCATTTGTTTTTAATTATCAGTATACCGAAGGGACTTTTATTTCTTGTAAATAAGGATGACAAACAAACTAAGCTCTAGCAGGTGCAACGAGCTATTTTATCCTGAGCTAAAACTGTCCTAGCTAAGATGTAACCTGCCAAACATATCTGGTGACAATAAAAGGTACTTTTTTCTTATATATATGAAAAATTTTGGCCGTGGGTTCTAAGCCAAGAGATGTATAAGAAAATGCGTTTGTCGTAGCAATTATTATTTTTTTAGAGTGACTATTAACACAATTATTGATGGTTACATTGTTTTGATGAAAGAAATTTAAAAACTTGGTATTTGAACTCAGTCTTGCCAAAGTTTGAAGTTTCCATCCAAGAAGCTTTAGTGGCTCTCTGCCATTTTGAGTAGTTCCCCTAGAGCACATGGGTCCAGCTGCTTCATGAAACAGGATTACAGTGCCATTTCTGAGGGGGATAATGAAATTCCAGCATACAGAACTGTGTCTGTAAATCAAAATTTCGAGTGAGGAACCAGATTTTCCCCCAGGGTAACAGGAAAGAGGCATTAATATGCTAATTAGAGTTTGAATTCAATCCCCTTGCTCTTCTAATTTTGTATTAATTCTTCCATTTACTCCCATGCACTCATCAACCAGAAAATCCTTTAGCAGAGTGGACAACCAGCTGTTCAAGGTGGGCAAGGTCTGGTCCTTCACTGAGGCAGAGACACAGATTAGGTGTTCTCTTGGGGGTTTTGCCATTCGGAGTTCCAAAAATACAGCTTATCTCACGCAAACTGGGTTTCCTCTGGAGAAACTTTAAAAGAGGCTTTCTTTTTGCCAAGATTTTCTTTTTGGTTTTTAGCTTAATTAATAGTGATCCAAAGGAACCAAAATAAGCTACTTGTGGTCATGTATGAATACTGATGTCTTCTCCTTATTTTGTCAGATATTTATATTGAATTTAGTAACTCAGAAACACCTAAAAGAATCATTGATTGTAGAAAGCAAAAAAGATTTTCTATGGTAATTTTTGTTTGTTTGTTTCTCACTGAGTTTTAACTATTTAAGAAAGTTTAACTCGTAAAAATTTTTAATGATTGGAAGCAAACTGTGCTTATTCTGTCTATACCACATCATCAATAAATAGAATTGCACTGGAAGATAAATATAACTCATAATGTTTTAGAATTTTGCTTATTCACAAGTATCTATTAAGAGTCCAGTATGTGACAGACACTATATAATGAGCCATAGATGTAAAAATAAAATAATACAGTATAGTATCTAAAGAAATTTCACTTACTAGGTAGTCAGATACACTAACAATTGCAGTTTTATTATTTAATTGCTAAAATAGAATTATGAGCATTATGCGGTTGGTATATGAAATATGTAGAGATTAAAGAACATTTTATAGAGGTGAAGGCATTTGAGGTAAGATGGAGAAAGAATGCAGGGAAAAGAAGAATTGTGGGTGTAGAAATTCTAGATGGAAGATATGATGGGCAGAAATGCAAAGGCCTTAACAGGGCACATGGCGTGCTTGTGAGCTCCAAGCATTCTGATATAAGGAGAATGTAAAGTTCAAGGGGGAATTCCTAGTAGGTAAGATTGGGTTGACAAGCCATTGTCAGATCACTGGAACAATAAAATATTTTTATATTTGATATACCACCTACTCTTTGACAGACACTGTGCTAAGCAAAGAGGGAGATACTATTTATAAAAGGTCAATGGTATAATCAGATATTCATATTATAAAGGTTATTCTGAGAGAAAAACCTAAATATATAGGTTCAACAGAATAGTCAGAATATTATCATAATAATATGTGTAATAATAAACTACCCTAGAAGGGCATCCTACTTCAACTTCTGAAATTATTTTTTCCCCCTTTCACCTTCCCACTCACTTACTAGGTTAATTTCTTCTCATCTTTCATATCCTTAAATGTCACTTCTACCAAGGGGCCTTCCTCAAACACACAGTCTAGATTAGGTCTCATTGTATATATTGACATGCTACCGAGAATATTTTCTTCACCGCAATTATATTAACAGCAATTAACTATCTTTGTAATTATTTGTTTAGCATCTATCATCTACTAGCTCACAGATATCATGTTGACAGGAATGGAGTCTGTCTTTTCTAGCAGGGTCTTTAGCATTTGGCAGGTGCTCTTTCTATATTTTTGTGTAAATAAATGATAGGCAGGGAATGTAGTATTGGATAAAAGAAGATGAGTAAGAGGAATATTAAACAGATATGATTGAAAGAGCTTGATGGATTAAAAAAATGGAAAATAAAAGATAAATCCTAAATGAGTCTTGTGTTTCTAGCTTAGATAATTGGAGGTGCCATTAATAAGAGTTATGACTAAATTGTAGGATAAGATTAGGACTTAAATTGGAGCACTGTTATATTACTTTATTGGATCACAGCTCATATTAAATTAAATTTTGTTTTCTTTGAAAAGAGTTGGTATCATCCTAGTCTCAGTCTTCTATATTTTCAAAAACTTTTATTGTAGATTATTTCTGTAGAAGATTAACATACTATTAAGATGGATTATTTTTTGCTTCATATTCAGAATACTATCTTCTATATTTTTGGTCTCATATTTTTGGCTCTTCTCCAGTATTGAGATGGGCTACTTTGGCATTTAGCATGATACATTTTTAAAATTTTCCGTTTAATTCAGTTGAAGTTAAAGATTTGGAAAAGTTGGATATTCTTTGCAATTAGAAATGGTTTTAGTATGAATTTGTGCTTAGATATGAAATCAAAATAGAAATAAATAAATCTACAATTATTTTAATGTTTAAACCTCTAACTATGTAAAATCTCATGTCAGTTAAAGAAAAATTTCCAAAGGCAGCAAATAAGTTTTTGACATCAAAGATTGACATGTAATCATCGCATCCTTCATTCTGCTTATTTAAATAAAAAGTATTGTCTATTTTTTTTTCTAGTTACACAAAGAGAAAAAGAAAAAGACAAAATAAAAGAAAAAGAAAAACCTGAGAAGAAAGGTATGCTGTTTTTCTTATTGCTGTTTTTACACATAGGTCTCTCTCTCCATTTGATCTCCCCTATACATCAAATTTTAGATGACCCTAAATTTATATTTTTAATTATATTATAATTTCCTTAGAATTTAATCTGAAAAGAGTAATTTCTCGGTTGAAGGAAATAAAATACTTAAGACTCTTCAACTCTATTACCAATTTACTTTTTGAAAAGTTGAGTCAATTTTTCCCCTGGCAGTTTTGAGATTGACTGCCTTAGCTATCAGTGAGGACGCTATTCAGAAAATATTTGCCAGTTTGATAGGTAAGAAAGCATACTTTATTATTTAACTTGCGTCTTTTACCTATTAGACTGGATTTTAAAATGTTATTTAATTTTTACTTGTTTAGAATGAGCAACGCAAACTTATTATTTAATAGATAAAGATGCACTGTGAAAAGCTTCCTCCTGCCTTGCGCCCACTTCCAGGTTCCCAATCCATCTTACCTATGCGTACACACACTAAACTACTTTTATGAGTTTTATATGTATCTTTCAGGGCTTCATTATGAATTTATATGATAGTATAGATTGTTGTTTCTACCAATTTTTTATACAAAATTTAGCATGTCCTATATTCTGGCTTTTATAATTTGATGATATGTCCTAGAGATCTTTCCATATCGGTAAATAGATATTTTCCTCATTCTCTTAAAAAAAAATTGAATTTAATGCAGATATTTTCTTTCACTTTATCTTTTAAGTGCTTCTTATTTGTAAATTGAAGGATTTAAGTATGAGTTTTAGCCAGGTATATTTTTCGTGTAACTGTTAATGCTCATTACCCATTTTTCCTGATGATATGTGTGCATGTCATTTGGGTATATATTCTTGATCTGTCACTTTTAAAAATATTTTTCTCAGTTTCAGAGTTAATGTTAGAGTTTCTGTTCATGTGAATAGACACGTGTAAGTGCGCGTGTGTGTATTTGTGTATGTGTTTAGATTCTTGAATTTTTATGTGACTAGATACGTCGATATTTTCTTTTGATATTTATGCTTTTAAATCTTTATGCAAAGATTAAATCGATGGTTACTAATATTTTCCTCAAGTTTTAAAAATTAGTTTTGTATTTTACATTTAAATTTAATTCATCAAAAATTCATTTTAATGTGTGATGTGAAATAAAATTCTGATTTTATTTTTGGCTCTTGTTCAGGAGTGGATTATGTCTAGGATATCTGTGTTAGATTTCAGTTGATTTATGTGTTCACAATATGCATAGCCTCCTCAGTTATCTTGCTTTGTGAAACATTTTACTTAGCTAGAATGTATTATGGTATTTAGAAATTGGGTCAGTAGAAATATGCTTCAATTTTTCTTTATTATATACTCACAATTGAAAATTTGAGTTAAATAATTGTTATTTTATTAGTTTACTTAGTGATAATATTCATGAATTTTAATACAGCTATCTTCTTTATTCTAGAAACAAGTGTCTATTTCCCATCTGCTATTGAGTTATACAGAATTGTTAGAATTCTGACTAACAAATAATTTTATATTTCTTATAGTTTTTTTCAACCTTCACAGTGGCTAAAAAAAAAATTGTTAAAAAAATAATTAAGAATGTGTTGCCTTTTATTTATTTATTTTTAAAAATTAAGTTTATCAAAGTAGCATCGGTTAATACAATTATATAATTTTCAGGTATACATTATAATTTGACATCTGTATATTCTTTGGGTGTGTGTTAACCACCCAAAGTCCAGTTTCTCTCAGCTACCATATATTTGATTCTCTTTACCCACTTCACCCTCCCCCTACCTCCTATATTTGATCTCCTTTAACCGTCTATCTCCTCCCTCTGGTAACCACTGGTAACTACTATCTTCTGGTAACCACTAGTCTCTGTTTGTTTGTCCTGTTCATTTGTTGCTTTTAGGTTTATATCCCACATATAAGTGATATCATGTGATTTTCAACTTTGTCTGGCTTATTTTGCTTAGCATGATTATCTCGAAGACCATCCATGTTATCACAAATGGCAGTATTTCATCTCTTCTTATGGCTGAGTGATATTCCGTTGTTTATATGTACCAAAGCTTCTTTAGCCAATCATCTATTGTAGGACACTTCGGTTGTTTCCATGTCCTGGCCACTGTGAATAATGCTGCTATGAACATTGATGTGCAAATATCTTTTCAGATATGGGTTTTCAAGTCTTTGGGGTAAATATCCAATAGAGGGATTGCGGATCATGTAGTAGATCAATTCTTAGTTTTTTGAGAAACCTCCATACTGTTTTCCATAGTGACTATACCTATTTGCAGTCCCACCAGCAGTGTATGAGGGTTCCTTTTTCTCTGCATCCTCTCCAACATTTGTTATTACTTGTTCTGTTGATGATAGCTATTCTAACAGGTGTGAGATGGTATCTCATTGTGGTTTTGATTTGCATTTCCCTAATAGCTAGCGATATTGAGCATCTTTTCATATATTTGTTGGCCATTTATATGTTCTCTAGAGAGAAGTGTCTGTTCTGGTCCTCTGCCCATTTTTTGATTTGATCATTTGTTTTCTTGTTGTTATTGAGTCATATGAGTTCTTTGTATATTTTGGATATTAGGCCCTTATCAGAGGTATGCTTGAAAATATATTTTCCCGTTTGGATGGTTGTCTCTTTACCTTGTTGACAGTTTCTTTTGCTGAGCAGAAGCTTCTTAGTTTGAAGTAGTCCCATTAAAT